AGTATGAAACTAGAAATCAGTAAAACAAAAACAAAAGGAAAAAAATACAAACACATGGAGGCTAAACAACATGATAGTAAACAACCAATGGATAAATGAAGACATCAAATAGAAATAAAAAAAATAACTGGAGACAAATGAAAATGGAAATACTACAATTCAAAATCTTTGGGAGGCAGCAAAAAACCTTCCTTCCTTCTAGGAAGGAAGTTAATAGCAATACAGGCCTACATCAAGAAACAAAAAAATATGAAACAAACAATCTTACCTTACACCTAAAGGAACTAGAAAAAGAAAGACAAAGTCCAAAGTTAAAAGAAAGGAAATAATAAAAATCAGAGCATAAATGAAATAGAGACTAAATAAAAAGAGAATGAAAAATAGAAAAGATCAGTGAAGCCAAGAACTGGTTCTTTGAAATAATAAACAACAATGATAAATCATTAGCGAGGCTCATAAAGGAAAAAAAAAAGAAAACTCAAAATTGGTATGTAAGAGAAATTACAACTTACACCACAGAAATACAAAAGATTATAAGAGATTGCTAGGAAAAATTATATGCCAACAAACTGGAAAACCTAGAACACAGAGATAAATTTCTAGAAATATACAATCTTCTAAGACTGAATGAGGAAGAAATAGAAAATGTGAATAGACCAATCACTAGTAACAAAATTGAATCAGTAATCAAAAAACTCCCAATACAACAGGACCAGATGGCTCACAGGTGAAATATACCTAACATTTAAATAAGAGTTAATACCTATCCTCAAACTACTCCAAAAAATAGAAGAGAAAGAAAAGCTTCCAAAGACAGTCCATAAGGCCAGCATTACCTTGATACCAAAATCAGACAAAGACACTACAAAAATAAAAAAAAATTAGAGGTCAATATCCCTGATGAGCATAGATGCAAAAATCTCCAACAAAATATTAGAAAACCAAATCCATTACCAAATACATTAAAATTTTATTATTCACCGTGATCAAGTGTGATTTATTCCAGGGATGCAAGGATGGTTCAATCTGAACAATTCACACATCCATCAACATGACACACTACATTAACAAAATGAAGGATAAAAATTATGATCATCTCAATAGATGCAGAAAAGGCATTTGACAAAATTCAATATCCATGGTAAAAAACTGACAAAGAGAGTGCTGAAAAAGTATATATCAACATAATAAAGGTTATCTATGACAAGCCCACAACTAAAATTATACTCAATGGTGAAAGGCTGAAAGTTTTTTCTCTAAGATCAGGAACGAAACAAGGATGTCCATTCTTGCCACTTTTATTCAACACAGTATTGTAAGTCTTAGACACAACAGTCAGATAAGAAACAAAAGGCATCCAAATTGATAAGGAAGAAATAAACTGCCCTTATTAGCAGATCACATGCTATTTTATCCAGAAAACCCTAAACACTCTCCAAAAAAACTTAGAATGCATTCCATAAAGTTGTGAGAAATGAAATTAATGTATAGAAATCTATTGTGTTTCTATATGCTTACAGCAAAGTTGCAGAAAGAGAAATTAAGAAAACAATCCCATTAAAATGCATCAAAGGGGCGCCTGAGTGGCTCAGTCAGTTGGGCGTCTGCCTTCAGCTCGGGTCATGATCCCAAAGTCCTGGGATCTTGGGATCGAGCCCCACATTGGGCTCCCTGCTCAGTGGGAAACCTGCTTCTCCCCCTCATATTCCCTCTGTTTGTGTTCCTTCTCCCGCTGTCTCTCTGTTGAATAAACAAAATCTTAAAAAAAAACGCATCAAAAATAATAATATACCTAGAATAAATTTAACCAAGGAAGTGACACACCAGTAGTATGAAAATTAGAAGACACTGATTAAAGAAATTGAAGATGACAAAAATAAATGGAAAGATACTATCTTTTCCCCATTGTATATTCTTGTTTCCTTTATTATAGATTAATTGACCATATAAGCATGAATTTAATTCTGGACTCTGTCCCATTGATCTTATATGTCTGTTTTTGTATTACTGCCATACTTTTTTGATTACTGTAGTTTTGTCCTATAGTTTGAAATCTGGGATTGTGATACCTCCAGCTGTTTTGTTTTTTCTCAAGGTTGCTTTGGCTCTTTGGGGTCCTTTTGTGGTTACATACAGTTTTTTAGGATTAATTGTTCTAGTTCTATGAAAAGTAGTATTGGTATTTTTATAAGGATTGCACTGAATCTGTAGATCACTGTGGGCAGCATGGACATTTTAACAATATTAATTCTTTCATTTCATGGTCAGAAATTACTTAACCCCCATTTAACAGAAGGTAAACAGATGACCAAAATGATTTAGTACTTTACTCAGAGTGACCCAGGCAGTAACAGGCCAAATTGGGATTCAAACCCAGGAAGTCTGGCTCCAAAGGTTACAGCTTTAACTACCACCCCATCTTGGCACTCCGTTAATTATATTGCCTCTGCAAACATGACACTTGTAAGTATCAGGTTATTAGGCTGGTTCCAGATCTGGAAAAAACCACACAGAGAAAAATTAAGAGAACTAGAGCTATTTAGCAAAGAGCAAAGAAAGACAAAAAGGAGACATGATCATTGTATTCAGATACCTGTCTCCTTCCCAAATTCCTTCCCTAACTCCTTTTTTAATAAGAGGACATCATTCTACCAAAGACACCAGGAGCAGCTACAAGGATAAAAAGAGTCTGAGAATCTGAGAGACAGGGGCTGAGATGCATGTAGCATGAGCAGAGGGCAACCTATAGCAGAGGACAGCCATAAATTAGAGGCTACCTGCCAACAGTCTTGGATCTTTATCTTCTAGCTTATTCATTTTATCGAACACCCACGGGGTACCTACCCTGTGCACACTGTCCTCAGCACTGGGAAATGCCAAAGAACAAACTGCACCCGCCTTCCTTCCTGATCTTACATCCTCTCTCCCTCTCCTGCTAAATCCACACTGGCCCTTCTGTACCACAAACCCTCCTGGATCTTTCCCTCCTCAGGACCTCTGCACCTGCAGTTTCCCATTCCTGGCATGTTCTGTTTCCTGTTCTTCAAATGGTTAGGGCATCCCTAACCACCCCATCTAAATAAATATCTGGTTGCTTGTCCCTACATCCCTTAATTTTCATCTTTGCACTTATGGGTATCTAATTTTTTTTCTAATTTTTGTTTACTTTCTTCCCCTACTGAATTTAGTTTAATGGCATTTGTTTTTTCTTTTTCATTTTAAATAGGCTCCATACCCAACACGGGGCTTGAATTCATGACCCTGAGATTAAGAGTCGCATGTTCTACCGGATGAGCCAGCCAGGAGTCCCCAAATTTAGCTGAATGAAATCAGGAACTTCATCTGTTTTGCAGTCTTCTGTATTTGTGATGTTTTGAATAGTACCTAACACATAGAAGTAGTCTATAAATATTTACTGAATATGTTAATAAGCAAGAAATTATTCTTCCATTTTGGGGAATGTGTTAGCTTTGTTATTTTGAGAGCCAGTGGTTGCAAATTAGAGAAAATAAAATGTGAGTTATGTGGTTGAGATGGCTAAGTATACAGCAACATCCAAACTCCTCTTCTTAGTAATAGGACTCCAGGGGGAGTTTACTTCCCCTGGCATCCTTTACAGCAAGGATTTGGTGAATGTGGTGTGGGTGGAAAAATGAGGTGTGTCATTTCTAAGCCATGGCCTTAAAAAGAAAGCTAGATGGTACCACTGGCCCTCCCCCACAACCCCTTCCGCTACCCAGATGATGTCAGGATCTAAAGCAACCACTTTGGATCCAATGATGGAAATCTTGTGTGTTGAGAATGACAGAGCTCCTTTGTCAGCCTTAAATAGTTTACCTCTGGAGTACTATATGGAGAAAAATAAGCTTCCATCTTTATTTCAGGCACTGTATTGGGGGGGGGGTTACTTAGTTACAACAGCTAGGTCAGTACTCTAATAACAAATCTTAAGTCTTTTTCAGCAATTAAGAGGGTCCTTTCTACACCTGGTCTGCCTCTCTCAGGAACTACTGCCCAAATAGTATCTCCATATATTTTCATTTTTCAAATTTTATCCTTACCATCTTTCAAGTTAGGTTCTGTGTCCCACAACACATTGCATTTGCAACCTTCCACATGCAGAAAAGGAAAGGAAACAGAGTATGAATGCCTAGTAGGAGCCATTTACTATGCTAAATGCCTTGCCTGTAATATCTTAATTCTCTCAATAGGTCTGTGAGTCCAATGTCATTTCACAATTTTAAGTAAGAAGCAGGCTCAAGGACATTAGGTGTTTTGACCAAGGTCACACAGCTAGTAAGTGGCAGAGTGAGACTTCAAATCAGGTAACAGCCAGGTCGGCTCTTTCCACTACTCTATGCTGATACCGTGGTATGCACAATGACTGAGGGCTTGCATTTGGGTTTTCAGATTTTTTTTTTTTTTTTTTGCTCTAACTTATTTTCTTAACTGAATGACTTTTACTTGTCGATTTTTCCTTATGACATCTTTATCCAACCTTTACGGTCATGTTTGTTTGCTTTTTATAAATTGTGGTAAAATATAAAATTTACCATTCAGCTATTTTTTTTAAAGATTTTATTTATTTATTTGACAGAGAGAGACACAGCGAGAGCAGGAACACAAGCAGGGGGAGTGGGAGAGGGAGAAGCAGGCTTCCTATGGAGCAGGGAGCCCAATGCGGGGCTCCATCCCAGGACCCTGGGATCATGACCTGAGCTGAAGGCAGACGCTGAACGACTGAGCCACCCAGGCGCCCCTCAGCTATTTTTTAACTTTTTTAATTTAATTTTTTTATTTAAATTCAACCAGCCAACATATAGTACATCATTACTTTTTGGTGTAGTGTTCAATGATTCATTAGTTGTGTATGACACCCAGTGCTCATCACATTCGGCTATTTTTAAGTATATAGATAGTTTAGTAACATCAAGTGCATTCATGTCGTTGTACAACCATCCATCACTATTCACCTCCAGAACTTTGCCATCATCCCTCAAAAAAATATGGGATGCTTCCTGAGTTTGTGTGTCATCAATTGCACAGGGGACATGCTAATCTCTGCATTGTTCCAATTTGAGTACACATGCTGGCCAAACGAGCACAGGGAGTTTTAAGTCATTGGTTTTCTAACTCTTTGCTCCTTTCCTCCTTTTCTTTCTTCCCTTCTATGACCTGCTGCCTGCTGCTTCCGAATGAACTGGAGAGTCCTAGTGATAGATGTGCCTGTTCAAAGTTAGGAGCATGAGCAAAGAGAAATGAACATAAAAGAGCCTGGCCTGGGTCCTATCTTCATCCTCTGCCCCAACCAATCCTCAGGGGTTTGAGCAAGGAAACAGGAGATTCACAAATAGCCTAATTTAAAACTGAATCATTTTGAAGTTTCTTAGCCCGTCAAACCGTAAGTAAGCAACTCTGACCTGCTCCACCCTGCATGACTCACTGTCCAGTTTCAAGTACTGCCTGTTCCTCAGAGTTTCAGCCTCATCTCAAGCTCCCAGGCCCTTTCTCCCTTTTCTCCTTTCCTTCTTCCTGCTCTCTCTCTTCTGGAGGTCTTCCTTATCTGCAGGAAAGCACGGCAGGGAGAAGGGTCCATGGTTTAAGGGGAGGAAACAAGTTTTGTGCAATTTTCTGTTTTCCGTGGAAGGCTTTTTCCGTGAGAACACCGGCATTTGAGAGTTTCCTGTGCTCGCCGTCCTCTCCCTCCCTCAGGACCATTCCCTAAATCTCTACAAACATGAGAGCTGCTCCACTTCTCCAAAAAATGCTTTATCCCCACAAATACTATTCATGGGAAGAGGCTCTGAGTTTAGTCTGTTCCTACCATTTGATTATTTGTTTATCACACTGATTCAACACATAAGCAAGCATTTGGGCTTCTAATTTATACTCTATGCAATTTTGAAAGCCTAATAATTGGGGTGGAGAACTGGAAGCTATTGCTCTGTGGATTCCATTACATGCTTGTGTGAGCCTGAACCTACTGCCTTCCCTTCTCTTTCACCCCACAGAGGGGATCTGGGAGAGACCCTGGGGTGCAGGCCAGGAAGCTCTGCCTCTACCCAGGAGGCCTTCCAGGACCCAGTGGGAGCATCCTGAGGCTGTGCTGAGCCCATCAGGAGAAGAGCAGTGGTGTAGATCCCCAGGTCTAGTCCTTGAGAAACCAAAAATCTTATAGGCAGGCGCAATCAATATGCAAAGCTATACCTGCTATCAGTAAAAAGGTAAGCTCCTTTCAAAAATGAGTTTGCAAGAGTGATGGTAATGATGAATGGAAAGTGGGGCATCAAGAAGGTCTTCCTTAGCAGAAAAAGTCTGCTAAGGTAGTTTCAGTTGAAATAACTATTCTTGTTAAATTTTATGGGGTATTCTCATATTAACAGCAAAACATATTCTTGGGAGGAAACTCCAGAAAATCATATATATTCAAATCATTCTAATCCCACAATACAGAGATAACTGTTATAAATATTTCTTTAACAATTATTCTGTTTAATTTTACTTGGATTTAGCAGGGAAAAAAAGGTGAAGTGAAACTAAAGGAGCTGAATTTTATGTACATATTTTTTCAAAACAAGCTATTAGTTACTAAGGAACTCTTCAAATAAATTACTAAAACATGAGGCTTATGCTTCTTAATGGCCACAAGTTTGTTTACAAATATTCAGGTTTAGATGACAATCTGGTCAAAATCCAAGGTCACCTTTGCTATGCTAAAAACAACAAAATCATATATATATATTTTTTTTTTGATAGGGAAACCAGAAGAGAAAATGAGAACAAAACTTGATATCTAAGTTTACTCCCTGGATGATTCTTCAAAAGAATTATTGGGAAAAATCTGATCTGTAAAGAATCATGTGCTATAAAAATAGCAATCCAATTTCAAGAGTAAAAGAACCACACTTGACACCGGGAAATGTTTATACCCTCTACTCATTACAAATTCAAACGCATTTAATTCTGAGAGTCCATCACTTTGTTTTACACCAACTGCTCAAAATCCAACTTGCTCCATATTTAGACCATGACTTTCCTGTAGAGTGTTTTATTCTATTTCCCAGATGACCTAGTAGCCATTCTTTCTCTTGTTGAAAAAAAAAAGAGACTTACACTACTGTGTCATTGATAGCAAGCTATAGTGACACTTTTAGATCCTAATCACAAGATCCGTGTAGTGTTACCCACTTTCTTCCTGAAGACTGTTTCCATGGAGCCTTCTGATTTCCTGTTCTAATTTGGACTCACCACCATCTAAGCATGTGAAGCAACTGTCATCGTCATAGGATATCCTGCTAGCTTGGTGTCTTGGATTCCGCATTTTCCTCTTTCTGGGGTTCTGTTTCTGCTTCGCTCTAGTACAGCTGTAAGTAACTCTCCTAGGAAAAGTATTTAAAAGACAATCTTTTTAGTCTTTCCCTGCATCTGAAAATATTTTTATGCTTAGTCTTGCTGGGATATATTTTGATGTTCAAATCATTTCCCTCAGAATGTGGAACTCCCCACTCCACTGTCTTTCAAAATCCAGCGTTGCTGATGGGAGTCTGGTCCAGTTTGACTTGAGTCCCTTCACAGGCAAGCTTGTGTTTGCTCTGAGAACTTTAAGGATATTCTTTTTATCCTTGCAGGGCAGAGATTTCACCAGTATGTATCTAGATGGATCCTTTCAATCCAAAAATCCAAATCATTTCTCTATTTTGAAAAAAGTTGTGTCCTCTCTCTGTGTTCTTCCATCCTGAGACTCCTACTGGAACACACAGAGGGTAAACTGCTTGGATCTCTTCTCAGCCTCTTTTTCCTCTTTCTCATCTCTTTTTACATCACATATCTAAGTTTTGGAAGATTTTTTTTTCAACTTATTTTCCAGATTACTAATTCAGTCCTTGGCTGCTTCTATTTTTTAGACTTATGTGAAATTTCAAAGTTAATTTTGGTAATCATATTTTCAAGATTTCACTTTGAGGAATTCTGGTTTTCTGATGATTCCTTTCAACGGCAACAGGTTTTCAATGTACAGATATAAAGTCCTCTTTAATCTCTCCACAGCTCTGGTTTTTTGTTGTTGTTTTGTTTAAGATTTTATTTTTAAGTATTCTCTCCACCCAGCGTGGGGCTTGAACTGACACCCCTGAGATCAAGAATCCCATGTTCTACTGGCTGAGCCAGCCAGGCACCCCTCTCAATGGGTAATGAGACCTTAAAAGTTCCTCTCCTCCCAGCCTTATCTCCATTTACCCTAGGGATAGGCTGTTCTGTTTGTTCAACTCCTTTGCGCTGATGGTTTTAATTCCCTGATTATCTTTGACCTTAGATCAGGACCAGTTTGCACTGGGCTTGCCCTGAGCTACATTTTGAGCAGTATTTTGAGAAGTGAGGACTAGAGATTGGCAAAGTCTGAGTGAGGCATCCCAGGTTGACTGTTTGGCGCTTATTGTGGGGGCAGAAGTAAGCAAATCACAGTCAAGGCAAAGAATTTTATAGGACTAGGAAAATGTATTGTGCTGGGGGTAAAAGAGAGATAAAATTGGAAGGCTTAGGGTGAGTTTAAAATGGTGATTGACAAAGGATTTTTAATGGGGGGCGGATATGCCAGTATGATAGGAAATGGGAATACTTCCAATTTACTGATCACCAAAGACCCTACCACTACCACCACCTGCTGCTGTCCTCCCAGAAAGACATGTAAGCTGATTTCCATTTTTTCTACTTACCTCCCCAAGAAACAGAAATATCTGCTCCTGCCTCTCCATGGGGTCTTATAGAACCAAGAAGCCATGAAGCAGTCTGAAAGAGGAGAGGCCCTGTTGTTCAGGGTCCAAGGGTACAGCACAGTCCTGGCAGGCTACGCAGGCGCTGGCTCAGCCTGCCTTTTTGCTCAACACCACCATGATAAGGCCATGTCCCTTCCTAGTTAGCCTTCCAGGTCAATTTAACACATAACATCTCTGCTACTTAACCAACTCTGATTAGTACAGCAATTTTGATGGGTTTTGCACGCTATCAGAACTTTTTCTTTTAAAGTTACTACTTATGAAAATTTTCAAACATATTCAAAAGTAAAGAGAACAGTATAATGGGTCCTCATGTGGCTGTCACCCAGTGTCTTAGTCCATCTGGGCTGCTATAACAGGATACCACAGACTGGGTGGCCTATAAACAACAGAAATTTGTTTTCTTACACCTCCGGAGGTCAAGCTCAGGGTGCATCCATGGTCAGATTCTGGCAAAAGCCCTCTTCCTGATGCATAGCCAGCCATCTTCTCCTCGTGTCCTCACTCAGGGGAAGGTAAGGGGTGAAGGAACTCTCTTGGGTCCCTTTCATAAGGGCACGAATCCCACTCAGGAAGAAGCCACACTCACAACACAATCACTTCCCCAGGCCCAGTCTCCTAAAACCATCACACTGCGGGGGTCAGGATTTCAACATACCAGTTTGAGGCAGACACATTCCAGCTTCAACAACTACATCAGTGTTTGGACAATTTAAAAACCTACTTTTAAGCAGCACTCATTTTTCAAAATGAGACTCTCCTTTTTAATGGACATGTGGCTAAGCCTTGCCTCAGGAAATTCTGTGATCAAGCCCCCCAAAAAACATAGCTTTAAAAAGTTTCACAAGTAATTCTGATGCCCACAGAAAATTGAGAGCCACTGCTGTAACAAAATGGAAAAAAAAAATGATTCTAGCACATACATAGCATTCAAAAGTGTTTAATAGCAGAACACCCAGAAGACATAAAGGAAAAACAGTTATATCAGTCTATATGAAAAATGGAAACGGCAGTATAGCAAAAGATCACAAAAGAAAAGGAATACAAATAATCAGAGAAATATTTTCAACTTATATCCTTAATTCATGGCAAGTTTTTATAAATTAGCAATATTTATTCAAAATAGCAATATCTGTAAAATCCCACAGACAAAAGCTATGAACAGACATTGCCTGTTTAGATTTAGAAGAAAATCTGAAAATTACCAAAAACCTATGTACAGATGCTAAGTCTCTTTATAGGTCAGTAAATTGCAAGTTTCAATGATAAAGAAACCATATCTAACCATCATATTAGCCAAAACTGAAATTATTTCTAATCTCCCATGCTGGTAA